AATCGTGAACAAAGAATAGTAACACCTCGCGTTTGCTCAACAGAAATACGAAGAAAATCACTTGATCAATGCCGAGGTTAGTAGAAAGTCGGTCGTGGCAGTTAACATCAACTTCATTATTGAGCCTCGCATACGAATCAAGAACACAAGCGCGCATAACTCTCGAGGCATTATGGATGAATTCCAGAAATCCGAAAATGCTACAGAATAGGTGCGAACAACACCAAGTGGGGGCCCTACCAATAGCACCATTTCCTCCGCCGTTCTTTAGACAACAAGAGCCCTTTCCAGGCTCTGAGGAAGACGAAATCCGCCGAAACATCAGCTTATTCGTGAATAAAGAATAATAACACCTTGCGTTTGCTCACCAAAAATACGAAAAATTACTTGATCAATGCCGAGGTTAATAGAAAGCGGTTCGTGGGAGTGACTGTGGACACTTCGTGATTCACTGGACACTCTTGATCTTTATGAAAATGAAAAAATCGCTCATGTAGAGAGCTGCTTGCTGGGCGAGCAATGGTACTGCTCATAAATGTCGTATACTTGTGTTCCCTAAATCTGATTCAGTTGCTGGTATTACATCTAACTGCCAAACGAAGGGTCAAAAATATTGAACGAATCCTGCGATTGGAAACTTCGTCAAAAAAAATGCCCCGGCGTTCGAAAAGGCATAAATAGTAGTTTTTCACCCACGATGAGGCGGGAGACTGTTGGGAGGCATCTATGGCATTAGCATTCATATTATGATTACACAGGAGAGGGAAACAAGATATATCACAAGTTTTGTTCCTCATAGAGAAAGATAGTGTAGAGGGAGATCATCATAGGAAATCCCCTATGATTTCGTAATTCCTGGGATATCTCCTTCCTATGGTATTCTTGGAGTTGCTTGAGCAAAATCAGGTGATGAAAACCAACCGCTACACATTGGACGTCCGCATGTACGTCGTTGCTATGAAGGAAAAGCAACTAAGACAACTCAGGAATTGGCTTTGCTATGACAGCATTGTGGCTTGCCTAGTAAAGTTAGCTCTCAAACAACCGGTGGAGTTTGGTTTGATTATTGTTCACCGCACACCATAGAACTCGGATGTAAAACCTTCAGACTACAACCTGTTCCGAGCCCTAAACCACAACTTGCTCTGGAAATCCGAAATTTAGGAAGCTCAAATTGGCTTCGCCTGTTTCTTATAACTCAGTAGATTTTCATGAGAAAATGACATCCAGGATGTGCTCAAAAAGTGCCTATGGTAATAGTGGTGAATATGTAGGGAGTTAAATTTGTGCTGGTATTACATTTAACTGCCAAATGAAAGGTCAAAAATATTGAACGAATACTGTTGTTTAGCACGTTCTGTGGCAGGTGCAGTCCTTAAAAATTGACAGTGCTTGTCATAACGGTCAAGTAATACCTCGTGCTATTCCCACTGAAGAGGATTTGAAGACGCACAATTTTAAAATTTCAGGAAGAACCAATTAGACCTAAGTTCGGTGACATCCATCAGAACAAAATCCTCGGGCTGCAGCCGATCCCACAAGGAGTCAAATAAAAATGTTGCGGTACCTGCATACTCCAATTTATCGTGCCGAGTAAACAAAAGCAACCGCCTTTACTGGATAGCTTGCATAACCTGACCTTGTACTTTTGCTTCCCATGAGAATTTATTGGCAGAGTTTGACTCTAGTTTCAAATGCCCCAATGGTTGCAGCATTATAGACGTTTTCAAGGACTGGTAGATTCATTCAAAACACCAGCTGATAATTTAGAACAAATGGACTAATCTTGCACAATCGGTCTTGTGTCTCACAGATTGTCCGCCTAGTCAAATAGATGACAGCCAACAGCTTTTTATATTCACTTTCATTGCACTGGAACAAATAGATAAAAACAGACAAACAAACAGTAGAAACACTCTTCTTTATAGGTGAACCAGGGAAATTCGAGTTAAAGGAACTCAACAGTTAGATTCAAACGCTAACACGAAACACTAACAAGCAAAGAAGAAAAACAAAAACCGAAACATTAACACTGAAACCTGTTTCGTTTACGAAAAACAGCGAAGGAAGAAAATAGAAAGTCTGTGTCGAGCCCTAAACTCGTCTTATAAGTGCTTTAAGAGTGAGAAGAATGAAGACGTACGGGGACACCTTCTCATACTCAATTGATTTCGGACTATATTCCAAATAAAAGCAAAAACGGAATATCCGTCATTGAATTCGTTCCAATAATTGATCCTATTACTATGTAGTTTTCCACACAGCTTTATGTCAGCAGGTAGTTTCCAATAAAAATGCAGCTTCAAAGCGATATCAACACTCTGGAATTATCGCACCATTCATCTGTCCATTGAATATCTGTCCATCTGTCCACTCCATGATGCAAGTCAGGACGACCACCTCTATCAATATCGTTCCTGAAAGGCACATTGATCTCGTTGTTTATAAACAGTTACTATAAACAGCTATGCTGCTTTTTCTTAAGATAATCCCTAGTAATGAGCACTCTTTGCGTCGTGCATAATTACCCTGTTCTTTTTGACAAAAATATTTCTCTTGGCGTATACGTGGAGCGCCATGAAATTTGTTACTTCAAAAATATAACGTTCCAGGCGTACATAATGCACCGTTATGTACCACATTCGGCTTTTTTTTTCTAAGCCTAAGCCTTATACCAATGAAGGAGCAGTATTAACACCAAATGGAAACAATCTGACAAACGAATATATGGCAATCCATCGAAGTCCACTTACAATCCTAAACAAAGCGTCGAAATGCAAATATAAGGTCCGTCTAAGCTCTCTAGAACTGCCGTCTTCGTCATCATTTGACCAACTGCGTTCGTCATCTCTTGAGCGATCGTCTTCGCCAACACTTGACCAAAGTATCTTAAATAAATGTGTTTAGCACAGTATCAATTCGCAGGATATACAAATAGTCAAAACGAAATTTAGAATCACACGTGCAGTTTAATTCAGAACGTCTTTGTAGTACAACTCTGCTATACGTGCTCCAAAGAAACCAACCCTATAAAGGAATTTTAATAAACAAGCATACAACGGAACACAATTTCTTGGGTGCTAGTTCTTTGATGAACGCAGTAGGCTGTATCACCTGTCAACCCGTTGATCGTTTTGTGACTTGACCAGGAGCTAGTAAATCTTCCATTTCTCCCTGTCACATACAAGAATAGCCCAGTGGGTTCTGCTCGCTCTAGGGATTCGTCGAGCATCATATCTGCTCGCTGTGAAGTGTGCTGATATTCCTCATATACAACTATTCATAAAGATAAGCTAATCAAGCGTTAAAATTCAAGAACATATAACTACGAGAATCGACAAAAGGATAAACTCCCCAAAGAATACCTTGTTGTGGAATCTCGCTCGAGCATTTCAAGCACGCCAATTTCATTGATAAGACATATACTAGCACTGGCAAGTTATGAAGAATGATCAACTCGAGAGCTTGTGCTCTTAAAAGAAGAAAGTGATTAGGTAAAATAACTAAATGACTCTACAGACACGACTACGACATTTGCTCCCGAACAGCGCGAAGCCGCCTTTGTAGACGTCGTATGCGTAGTTCAACACACTCCTGTTCGGTCAGAGATGCAAAGACCTCCCCTCTCAACTAATCGAGCTACTTCAGCTACTGCAAGCAAATCAGCAACCAATACCCTGAAATGAAAAGGAAACAATAAACGCATTCAACAAGAAGAAACAAAACAAAGAACACTCACACTGGAAGCAAACGTGGTGGAAGATCTAAGTTATGCGAAAATGAGCTAACTGGTGTCATACACAATGGACATTTTTCAGCCCGTTTTAACCATTGCGAGGTACAAGTGGAGCGACACGAATAAGAGCACTTATTGAGCAACGCTGGATCGGTTCCCCTTAAAGGAAACTTGCGTCCCATGAGAAAAGAAAGATACAAAAAGCACATAATAGCAAGCAAAGGTGGTACCACGCTTACGTTTTTTTCTGACCTACTTTTAAGAATAAACGTCATTAAGAATACAAATTTAATTCGCTACATATTCACCACTATTACCATAGGCATTTTTTGAGCACATCCTGGATGTTATTTTCTCATGAAAATCTACTGAGTTATAAGAAACAGATGAAGCCAATTTGAGCTTCCTAAAGTTCGGATTTCCAGAGCAAGCTATGGTTTAGAGCTCGGAACAGGTGGTAGCCTGAAGGCTTTATATCCGAGCTCAATGGTGTGTGGTGAACAATAATCAAGCCAAACTCCACCGGTTCTTTGAGAGTCAACTTTACCAGGCAAACCACAGTGCTGTTATAGTACAACCAATTTCTGAGTACTCTTAGTTGCTTTTCCTTCATAACAACGACGTACATGCGAACTTCCAATGTGTAGCGGTTGGTTTTCATCACCTGATTTTGCTCAAGCAACTCCAAGAACACCATAGGAAGGAGATATCCCAGGAATTACAAAGTCATAGGGAATAGGGATTTTCTACGATGATCTCCCTCTGCACTATCTTTCTCTATGAGGAACAAAACTTGTGATATAACTTGTTTTCCTCACCCTGTGTAAACATAATATGAATACCAATGCCATAGATGCCTCCCAACAGTTTCCCGCCTCATTGTGGGTGAGAGGTGTTTCTGGATGTCGGGTCACTATCTACAGCGCGGGGATTCATCTCCCCAGCAAGGTCGCCCAGGTTGAGGACTCCGGCGTTTCCATCGGGAAGCGTAGCTAAGGGTAAACCAATACCAGGATCCACCATCGTCCTGCTAACAAACTAGCTCTATGTTGGCAAATATCACTCTGATCCAGAAAGGCGGCGACTGCCTATTTTGGGGACGATCTAGGGAATACCTTAACTAGGATAGATTGGGGACTCCAGGAAACCACAATAGCTAAACTGGCAAAACTCCGAAAAAATGGAAATTAAGATGGGGCTAGTACAACCAGTGAGAACTGGCCATCCAAGTAACCAGGTAAGTAATATCACCGATTCCAAACTTGGAGACGTAGTCTGAAGAATGGCCTGTACGATGGTACGACTCACGCTAACAATTCACAAGTGGGAGAAATCCTAGACATTTCTTCTGCAATGCTAATGGTCTTAAAGCGGAATGTCTTGGTCTATAATTCACTATTTCTTTTCATAGAATAGACCGGAATTTCATTAGTATTATAACGTAAAACCAACGGCATAAGACATATGGCGCAGACATTCGAAGTGGTTTCCGCATCTCCCTCAATGGATACACCCACCACTTCTTTACAGTCCATGATTCCAGATTTTGTAGAAGAAAGAGATGAACGAGAGGATTCTGCAGTCCCTAGAACGCAGAATTGTAAGTTATATTGATTTTTGAAAGCCTCAAGTGGTTGAGCATCGTGAATGCTTCCGAAACCACTTCCAGACGTGAACGCGAGAAGAATTACGGTCACCGTCACCCATAAGCTGAGCGTGGATCCTGAGACTGGTCAGATTCTTAGCTCTCCTCGGCGGTGGAGCGCCGTACTGCACGTCGTCTTCGACGCAACTATACACTCCCTTCCGTCGAGAAGTCATGGTGGTTTAAAAACGTTACGCTGTCCCTTAAAAACAGACGTACTAAGTGAAATGGAAACAGTATCGTAGGTTATCACCTGAAGAGGGTCATAATGTGATAACCATTTGAAATTATCGATTCTATACATTGAAAGATTTAGGCTTCCAGCCTATGATACCCAAATAAGCCATTTGCAGATACTCGTACTAAAGATTCAACAATATTTCCTGATTTCCATAACCCTACCCCCATTTAAACGCTCCATTTCATAAGTAGACAAAACGTGAAACCCGAATTCCATGTATTTCCCGAAGTTGGTGAACCTTGTCGGGTAGCAAATCACAGTTACTTCGCATCCTTTGCTCCACACTATTCGAAGACGAAAAACCGTGCTTACTGTTCTCCTGAGGAAAAGAAAACTTCTAATACAAAGTCGATAACTTGAAATATAGTGAATAAAACGTTCATACTACAAAGTTTAGAAAATCTCGCTGGTCAGACCCCAATATCTACAGACAACAAAACCAGACCAGAATTGATTTTCCGAGATTATTGAATCAAATCAGGATTGTCTAAGGGAAATGACGAAATCCACAAGTATTTTTTCCGAGATACAGAATACCTACAATGAAACCTTGGCATAAGATCGGTGAAATCGTTTGCGAATTGGCATTTGCAGAAATGTTTCAAAAACAACGGCTTTTCCCAACCGTCATTGAATGACGTGCTTTTTTAACAGAATTGCTTCCCGGATTATGGTTTGTCTCAAGACTTTAGGCAATGGTGATATTCAACGATGATAACGTGTTTGATAGAAACCGAGAGTCTAGACGTGGGAGTCTCCCAGTAGAGAGCACCATAACGAAATAGACACATTATGGTAAACCGAAGATTTTGCCTAGCCGATATCGCTGTTGTACGGAAATTCTACGTGGGATCAAACCATCACCTCCTTCGCGCAAGATTCCCTCTCTCGCGGAAAGGAGAAAAAGCCGCTAAATTCAAAAACTGAAGTCCCAGAAGCACCGAAAACTGAGACTTATTCAATCCATTAGTCGGCAGTTCGGAAGATGCCGTTGTCAATAACATCTACAAAGAATACGATTGGCTCATTCAACATCTTCACATAAGCATACTGGCTATTCAGTCCGAGGTAGAATGTTAATCGGTTTCGAAAAATGTTGATTCGCTACGTGTTATGTGATATAATGCCGATAACTACACGATGGGTTATCCTCAGAGCACAGATCATTATCAGTGGGCAATCAACAACAACCGAAATGTATAAAAGGAGTAGAAACCAGTGCGGTTTTAATTCAACGACCTCACTCCAGAAGATTCGATCACGAAGGCCTACATCGCGAGGAAAGACCCATACCCACCTCGTCTAGGCTGAACAGTCTAACACGGGGTTGATCAAAAAACGTTATCCGGCTAACATCTCGACGTCTTCGTCTTGCTATGAGCAGATGATTGCAGTCGATGGACCATAGCCGGCCATTTTTGAGAAGCGTATGTTTGACATCCTTAGTAGCTGATCCGCAATGCTAATAAATCAGTAGCCGAAATTTTAAAAACTTCGATTTTTCAGCAGGGCCGAATTTTCCAATTGGAGAAACAAACGAAATTCGTAGGTGTGTTGTACGAGCGCACACAAGTTACAGAAGAAAAAGTAAAAGTGTGTTTAAGAGACGAATCTAATTGGATAGATTAATTTTAACCCAGTTCTTCCAGTGTTGGATTCAAGCCAATGTACGACGACGACCAAAAAAGAAAAAAAGAAACAAGGAAAGTGAGAAAAAGACTGCCACCCAAAATCGTACGGTGAATAGAGAATTTACGCATTATGTATGGTGAAAAACTTCTCATATGAGCGGTGAATAAATCGTTACCTTACTTTGTATGACAACATCGAATCCCGAAGATTAACAAAAAAAGTTAGAGACGATTAGAAACACAGAACGCCATCTGAAAAACAAAATCAAATCTTTAGCGAACAAACCCTGCAATTCCAAGTTGGCTAAGTGGGGACATTTACAGTGCTTTACCAGCCAGTGATAATCATTAGTCGTTGTGGACGAGAAAGAGATTTGGTTTTTCGGCACTAGAATTTTCACAAAACAGCAGTGATTTCTTTGTTCGCAACAATACATGGCCTCACTCGCAACATGCTGAATCACGAAAATTGCCACATTACGAAGAAATACGGTATATGTCATCTTATCATTATAGTTTCAATTACTTAGTAAACGAATTAGGACTGTTACATCGCCATCGAGCGGTCGTTCACCTAGGCGCAGAATCGCCTTAATAGGAACCTGTTCAGAACGACTCCGACTAACGCAGGAAATATCTCACCATACCAAAGGATGGTGGCTGCCTATGGCGAAGACCTGTAAAGGTTCTAGCACGGCTATTCCGAAATTACAGACAAAATAAATGCGACACGATAGCCACATAAGAGAGCGAAATTCTCAAACAGAGCACAACCCACTATTGAATCCGAAGACCTTGGCAGAAGAGCGATGGGAGAAAAGAAAACAAATGAGAACTTGGACTTATTCGCAATATATCTAAACGAAAATATAAAGAGACAAATAAAAGACAAAAAGGAAAGTACATTCAAAAAAATCACGTTGTAACCGTACGAATTAATGGCCCTCAAAAATATATGTTTCCATTCTATTCACAATCCCTTGTAAATGTTCTGAAAAAAGTGGACCAATAGGATACTGCTTTCATAATACTAAATAATGAATTTTTAATAAAAGCAGAAATGCGACATGTGGTCATTGCCTTAATCCCTAGTCCTGAGCTACAAAACAAAAAACAAACAGGAACCAAAACAATCATATCGTCAATGATGCTGAGATATTTGCAAAACTCCGGGCCGCAGATGTATGCAGTGGGAAACGAACGCGATATTGTCCTTTCCGGAGAGTAGCGAGTTCACCACCACACCACGCGGGTACTTTGTTTCGCGTGTCTCTCAGCTAGCTCTATCGATCTTTTGCCAACAGCAATCACCCATCAGTAGGATTGATCTGGGGAACCCAAATCGGCAACGAACCCAGTTAAGCCGAGGCTGTAGTTATAATCACAATTTCAACTTATTGTTCCCTCCTCAGATCAGATCAATCCCGCTGACGGGTGATTACTGATGGCAGAAGATCGATAGAACTCGCTGAGAGAGGCGAAACGAAGGACCCGCGTGGTGTGGTGGTGAACGCGCTACTCTCTGGAAAGGACAATATCGCATTCGTTCTCTACCGCATACACCTGCGGTCCGGAGTTTTACAAATATCTCAGTATCATTGAAGTTATATTTCGCAATGCGTATCCTACCGTTAAAAAGAGTAGGCAGTAAATAATACGTTAAAATTGTAATCATCTCTTCAGTGCTGGTAATTTGGACACATGCATTTCTGGAAAGAAAAAACATTGAGGCGATAGATGGTTAGTTCCTCGTTCGCAATTGCATAGCGTGAATAAAAGTTTAGTGGCCTCTACGAACGTAGTCGAATGCATTCCACATTCCCCAATGATCGATCGACGCAGAACGGTTTAACACTTTACGCTCTATGTAAGCTTAAAGTTAGAAATTAAAAATCAACATCAAGCTGTAAACAGTCTCGTAAATGTTGAGTGGAAAATGAAATAGGCGAACAACAATGAACAACTACGACGTTTGAACAACTGGCAAACACTACAATACTAATGCTTTTCAACAAAATAAAATCATTAAAATTTTGGAAAGCGAAGCAGTGTGCAGTCCAGCTTATTCTGATACAGTTTCCAGTGACCACAGCGGCACTTGTCTCTTTGGCGTCATTTCTACAGTACAAAGTGATTTAACCCTCCCAATGGTTTAACACCTCATCATGGCTGGGAAGTGTTCCTGGGTGTCGGGCTGCGATCTACACCCGGGCGATTCATCCTCCGGAAGGACCTACCAATCTGAGGAGGAGACCGAAGTTTCCATCACGAAACCCAGCTAAGAGTAAACCAATACCGGGATCCACTATCGCCCTGATACCAAACTAGTCGCATGGTGACAAATCCCCTTCTGATCCATAAAGGCCACGACTGCTTAGGAAGGTGAATTGGAGCAGACTTTGGCTCGGCTCACCTCTGCAATCCATGAAATCACAATGGCTAAACCAGTAAAGCTCCGAAAAAGCGAAGATTTTGCTGGCGCCCGCGCAGCCAGTGAGGACGAGCAATTCATGTATCAAGTATCAAGTAAGATGATTTGACGTCTCTCTCACTCAGTAAAACCAAACTATCTTTTACCAACTGTAGAGGACATCGACGCAGACGTCACTATTCATGAAGCAACATGCAACAAAAGAAACAAAAAAGAACAACTTGCGAGCTTCAGTAATCTAAAATATCAACGCAATGAAAGAAGGAAACTTACGTCTCAGCAAGGAATGTTTTTAAATCGTTGTGGCTTTGTTTTGCAATAGAAATTTAACAACATTTGTTTCAACTCCGAAGAGAAGGAATTTTTGGCCACATAAGGATATTTCCTGCACAAAACTGTGGCCGCCATCATTCCACCGGCTTCACAAGTTGCCCAATCACCGCAGATCCTTCACCTCCATGCAAGATTTTTCCCTTAGCTAGGCTTCCGGAGAGAAATGTCAAGATGCTCTTCGCCCTACCTTCTTACTTCGCTAGCGTTACCTCTCACCTGGACCACATCACCCAGAAGACAAGTCTTTTACCAGCGAGAACTCCTGCAACCATTTCAGGCTGCTGGTTTGTTCTTGATTTTTCACTGATGAGAAAGTTGTTAACAATGAAGTTGGACTTATTGAAACTTTTCTCCCAAACGGTGAGGCGCCAAAGACTTTACGAATTTAATTCCAGTAATGGTTTTTGACAGATCTTATTATATACTTGTTGTTTATATGTGTAAGTCTAGTTGTCCACGTTTGACGTCTGACTATGTCCCAAGTCTGTCTCAAGACTTTAGGCAATGGTGATATTCAACGATGATAGTGTTTGATATAAA